TTGCTCAGAACAAATTCCCTTGTCTTCGCTCTGGTCATTTTTTTCTGCTCCTCTTTTCACACTTGTCATCCACAGAACTATATAAGAAAAGTGCAATTGCTCAGAACTGCAATCCTGCATCATATTTATGAATGCTACTGACAGAAGCAAGGAAACATGCAAGGGTGTGAATGCTTGCATGTTTCCCTGCCTCTAACAGTAGTAATCATAAATATGATGCAGGGAAATATAGGATCGCAGCACAGAAAAATTAGGGGGCACTATTCTATTGAGCCACAATTCTTAGGTCCCATCATGGACCTTGAAGTACTCTGTAATACATGAATTTCAGAAACAAAAATGTGGACTGAAGTAATTGCACCTGGGAGTCACTCAATTTTTTAAAGCAAGACTCATTGGCTTGTGTCCCGTACTCTAATTTTTAAAAAAATTCTGCTAGTTATCAGTTCAGATCTATGCAAAAAGTTATCCTTCTTCTAGCAAAACATTGGGTGTTCAGGAAGAGGGAAGGAGAAATAATAGGAATATTAATAAAAGAGAGTATAAGGGCAGGTGGAAGGGGAGAAAAAGAGAAATTGACCCCAGATGCCATCAGAATGTGGCTTCTGACAGAGTATTATTGGGGACTATAGTTCAGAATAAAGAAAAGGTCTTCTATCCATTATTTAAAACACTTTTGGTTTGGTTACCTGAGAACTGAAACACTGAAAATGGTGCATAGAAATATGTGTGTGTGTTTATATGTATATGTGTAACACTCACATTTTGAAAAATGACCCAGTCACTAAATTTCCATCAAAGTGAGAGTTATTCATTACTTTCAGAAGAATGAACTTTAGGTAATCCTCTGGAGAAAAAAGGATTACAAACCTTGGGAAGTGGTGACAAGATTGCTCTCTTGCTTGCCCTTAGTATTGAAGTGGAACGACTTTCCTTGAAGTCAGTCTGAACTGATCACTTGAATCCTGGTGGGTTGTTGCGGGTAGATGTTTTTTGCATTCAGAAACAAAACATGCCTTATGTCTGTTTTGAAAGACGTGGAGGAGCAGTGGTGATCAAGCTGTCATTCTTTTTCCTATTCTTCTCACTTTGATCAATGTACTGTTATGTCTACTGTGGGGGAGTGTTGGAATTCTATTCATTTGTCAAATGGGAGTCAAGGGCATGACACAGAGAAATACAAGAGTCTAGCTCACAAGTTCCAAAACTAGGTGAATAAAGATAGATTTGAATAGATTTTTTTAAATATTTTATCTCATTCCAGCATCTGGTGTTAAAGATTGTGCAGGATAACTTTGCTGCATTATCTAAAAACCTACTAGTAGTGATATGCATTTGGAGGATGCCAATCATTTCTTGGGAATAAGAGCTGAATTTGTGACAGATTTCACTCAGATTTCTCCCATTTTTTAGCAGGTTCTCGTAGCTGTCAAAAGGTCATCAACAAAGAGTTAGCTAATGAGCTGGGAACTATTTGCTCAGAAGACTCCATGGGTTGGAACTAATATAAAACTAAGGTTAAGGTCTTCTCTAGCAAAAGATGTGTACAAACAAACCACTCTCTGTCCCTCAGAAGGCAAGCTGGACATTTGCTTTGCATTGTCCTCTTCATATCCCACAAGACATTCTGCTTCCATCTGTCATGCTTGGCTTGATGCTGCCTGAAGCGCTTTTCGTTCGTCTCAGACAGCTGCGTAGCCTGTATTTGCTCTGCCAATATGTTTATATACCCTTTCAGTCAGCCTGGTTAGATTAGAGGTTGTCATATCTACTCTGCATCTTACTTAACTACAGGAAATATCTGACTTCTTCCAAATGAAAATTAATTAGAGGGGAGTATTAAATTATTTTCATTTGCCGCTGTCCCCCCCTTCCCTAGCACTAAGGAAACTTCAGGAACCCACTAGTGTTACCAGCTATTTCATATTTGGTCACCATTTTTACATTTACACATTTCATGCTCGATTTCATCTGGAGAAAATGTTTCTTAAATGGTAGAGGAGAGGGAGATATTTGATCTAAAACTGCTACACAAGAAGATGGGAGAGGAGATCATTTTAAGTCTCTTGACCTGCTGTTAGATACATATCAGAAGATTCCATAAGACTCAAGTTTGAGGAAAAGCAGTTAGTGGATTATCTGGAGGGAGAGGATTAGATCCAAAGGTTCCTAAAGGTGATTAAAGTTTGAGACTTCTCAAATAAAACTCACAGCAAATCCATTCATTTTCACAAAAGTGCAAAGCGCTCCATTCAGAGGTAGGCTGCTGCCGGTTTTGACCGGTTTGGGCAAACCGGTAGTTGTGACCTGCCCATCCACCCATCCGCCCCAGTGCTATCCCATCCTATATCACTGTGTTTTTGAAGCCATGTGCATGCGCAGAAGGCCACATGCATGCACACTCACACTTTCAGTGCTGGGCGAACCGGTTGTTACAACTGGCAGCAGCCCACCACTGGCTCCATTGAATTCAAAGCCAACCTTTGCAGGAATTGGCTGCGCTAGCAGCTGTCCCTGCTGTCCCTGACTCAGCTATAACTTTTTGGAACTCGATACCTGCTCTGAATAAGTGTGTGTGTGTGTTTGTCAGAGCGTCAGCCCTTTAAAGTTGACCAGATCAGGAAATGGATTCCAAAGAGGACTAGCACTATATTTTATTTAAATAGGTTATACTAACAGAATAATGTGGCCTGATGTGTTTTCCCTTCCCTCCCTCTTATACCCCAAGGAGTCAAGGAGGAGATTATCTGAGTCTCTTGTTAATGCTTTTCCTATTTCCTAGACTCAGTGCATATTTTTGCATATGTTTTTGTTGTAATATCTCTAAACAGTTTCTCCGAGGTTATCTCCAAGGCACGCTACAGTAAGACATCTGCCAAACTCTATTGATCTTTCCTCTGCCTTGTGCTCACCTGGGTGAATTGTTGAAATCCATTTTTGACAAGTTGATCTGTGACATGTAACCTACCCATTACTGTAGCTGCTGCTTCCAAAGTGGTGTTTATGAGTTCGGTTTGCTTGCTTTTTTAAAATCAATTTCTATGTTTTGAGAACAGAGTGGTATAATCAAGTAAAATCCTACTTGGAAGCTGATACAAAACTGGACCTCAATGTGTTACATATTTTATGTAATTTATGATAGCTACTCTACCTTACCGCCGCCCTCCTTTGTCTACACCCATGCTTATGAAATAATGGCATGGGAGAGGAGAGAGACCACATACCGTACTTGTGGTGCATAAGAATTCGATGCATTTAGTAAGAGTACATTAGTACAACCCAGTGGAAGCTCACTTCACTGAGTAAGCAGGAATGTATTTTAGAGATGAATCCTGTGTTCTAAAAACCTGCTGCTGGAGAGGCATGTCTTTTATACCTCTTTATTTCCCTGCCAAGAGCTTACAGTACGGAAAAACTAACCTGCCTGAACTGCATTCTACCTTTGCCCCCTAACCTCAATCAGAAAAAAAGTAGAGAAGAATGTGAGATAATTGAGCCATTCTTTTATTCGAAGTTGAAGTTTGCAGTAGGGCAGGAAACCTTTCAGAAGTGATAGGCCAGACACATGATGTGATTAAGAAAAATGTTGCCTTGACAATTTTGTGAGGATCCCTCTGTCCAGGCAAGTTCAGCCTTGCTATTATAAAATTTCCCCCCCTCAAGCAAAGGAAACAAGAATTGGCTTGACCCTCATCCTTATGTTTGTTGGGGTGGTTCTTCTTTTTCATGAATGATAGGCATGGAACTTTCCAGAGGACAAGCAGACAAATGTCAGTTCCACAGAGCTTACAAGATAATACGTGAAAAAAAGCACAGAAAAGGGAATCTCTGAAAATATAAATAGGGAACTACCACAAATGGCTTCACCTGCAGATGCTGGGGTGTGCTTACATGCAGCTCCATCAAGGCATGAGAAGCAGATGTGCTGAAAGCTTCACAAAAACAAGGCTTGAGGAAAGATTTGAAGGCAGAAGGGAAATGGTTTTATGGAATCCTGCAAGGCAATTCAAAGCATTTAGGGGAGGGGTGAGAAAAGATGTAATATTATGAAATTTAAGCAATACTTGGTACATTTTTAATTTCTCAAATGCTATCTTATTCTTTACTGGCATCCTCTTTTAAGAAAAATGCAAAATACTTTCATGAGGCCCTGAAAAATATTTAGGTGAGCTTCCTGATAAGCACAGCCAGAATGTCAGACAGGGAATTGGTTGGTGTTCCTAATCTTCACTGATGGATGAAATGATTGAAGAAGTCCAACATTTTGTCTGCTCTCCCCAAACTTTTGAGATGCAATGATTTAGAGAAAGTAGACTGGAAATTGCCATTGGAGAAGCTGCCATTAATTCTGGATTGTTTAATTAATGGAAGCAATATGAAGATTACTGAAAAACATGTCTATCATGCAAAGAGACCATTATGTTCACCTCACACGAAATTGCTTGATCCTAAGTAGCTATGATTGGCAGAAGTCTTTCATGATTTTATATAAGAGTTTTGAGAGGGCAGAGTTCATCTGCAAATAAAGCATACTGTCAGCTATTATCCATGTTAAAATAGGGTGCCATCATATGGAGACCCTCCTCATTCCTGCCAATTTATGGATCTATAGATTAAATGTCCAGAAGCTACTTCGCCAGAGTATGGTGCCCATGAACATTAATGTGCCAGTGGTGAAATCCAATTTTTTTTACTACCGGTTCTGTGGGTGTGGCTTGGTGGGCATGGCAGGGGAAGGACACTGCAAAATCCCCATTCCTTCCCCACTCCTGGGGAAGGATATTGCAAAATCCCCATTCCCTCCCCACTCTGGGGCCAGCCAGAGGTGGTATTTGCTGGTTCTCCGAACTACTCAAAATTTCCACTACCAGTTCTCCAGAACCTGTCAGAACCTGCTGGATTTCACTCCTGTAATGTGCCCATTTGCCTGCCTCACCTGACTTTTTAAGAAGTATTTATAATTAAATATAAACAGGAAGTAGTTTTACAAAGCAAACTCCAGCTTGGGGTCCAGAAACGTTCAGGTGGAGTGATAAGAGAGTTGCTTGGATGACTATTCTATTACATGGCACTTCTGTGACTGACCATGCCTCCTATAGCAACTGTCTTCTGAACAGGTTGATTTGCTATGGCAACAATTCTATGATGGCAACCATGACATGTTCTCAAATTGTCCAGGGAGCCTTTGGCACTAACAGATGACCTATCCCTGATCTATATAATCAGATGTTACAGACAGCAGACAGATCTGATTGTGAAATCAAGGAGAAACAACATCTAGGGAAATATTTGTTTTCCCCCAAACCCCCACAGCCCCAAATGTTTGAAAAATAGAGAAGACTTTAGATTGATAAGTTTCACAGTATGTGGTCACAATGAGGACTATAATAGAGTGATTATAACCCACCTGTCAAGAAATAACATATTTGCAATAAAAAAAATATGTAATTCCTTCGTTCCCTCCCTCCCTCTGGAGAGCAGTACAGCTTGAAATTGTCCTGGTTGCTGCCATTAGTTAGATTCACTGTTGCCATGCAACATACTTACATTATATTTTTTTTGGCTTCTCAGTGCACATCTCTGGATCAGCAAAGTCTCTTGAGCTGTCATACATCCTCAAAGACATTTTATAGGGTTTTTTTAAAAACAAATGAAAATATCACACAATATGCTAAAGAATGTGAAAGAAATAAAAGCCATTGTTTGTTTAAAAATGCTTTGATTTAATAAACCAGATGAATAGATTCACACATCAAAAATTGAACAGTATAATTTAGAGCAATGTCTGAATCCAATCACTGTCAAAATTCTAGTATTCATAATCATGCTAAGTCACAAACATTTTAAGTATAATTGGATAAATTAACTCCAATGGCTGGCAACATCAAGTTAAGCCAAACTCAAGCCATGGATGGCATAAACACATTGACTGGGGGGAGGGGTAGTTGCAAGATTATGTTTCCAGTTGGAGGTTTAAGAAAATCATGTTAATCACGTTAATGTGTAAAATAAAACAAGAACAAGAACACTTGTTTTATGACATTTGTTAGTGCAATTGTCTAGAAAAAAGGACTCCGGTAAAGCTTGCAGAAATGATTTCCATGAAGAATTCCTTATCTAGGATTTTGATAACCAAGCCCAAGAATCTGCAGCAAAAATTGGCTGAGGGATTTTTGTGTGTGTGCTGTTATATCTTTGATTAAATCTTATTTTATCTCCAGATGTTGGAAAAGAAAATGCATTCGAGAAATTATTCATATGCATGAACTTATCCATAGGTCACTGGGTCCATTTCCTTCTGTGCTGACAAAAAAAGACATGCTCTCTACTTGGCATTTTATAGGTGGATTTTTAGGTCCCCTGCTCATCCCCCTATCACACACCTCTTCTGCATCATTTTAGAAATTCATCTGGTTGTTTCTGTGATCTTCAGGATGTGTGATTTTTAAGCCTATCTAGGTAATTATCCCTCTTTGTTCACTGGGCACATATTCAAGGTTTCTGTGTCAAGAGGGGAGAGATTCAAGTGACAGAGAATATATTATACACATTACAAGGTTTGAACACTGTCTTAATAGCAAAGATGGCATTTGTATATTTTGAAGGTTCTTTGGAGTTTTATGACTGGTATGATGCACAATATACAAGGTAGCTACATTTCAATTTTTTAAAGCAAGCAGTACAAGTGTTATGAAGGGAACTGATAAAACAACTTCCTAGCTGCTCCCCAAATTATAAATATTTCATTATTTATTGAAACTATTTTTCGATCAGTCCAAGGATGAATTATGACATCATATAAAAAGAGCGGACAACGTAACAGGAAATTATATCTACATCAAAAGAGAAACAGGATACTTTTTTAAAAAAAGGGATATTTGTACTTTGAATGTGTAGAATATGTATCTTTTTTCTCAGGTAAGGATGGGCAACCTATAGAGCTCCTGATTCCACTCAGCTGCAACTTCCACCATTCTTCCTTGCTATCCATAATTTAGACTGTTGGGAGTGGTAATTGAAAAAAAATATTTTGAGGCTGAGAGATTCCCTACCAGATATTTTATGAAATTTCCAATTGCATGACTTTGATCGCATAGTGCTGAGCCTTCTAATTTTGAACTGTTTTATGGATGCTCTTTACATACTGTTGAAAATCAAGTTATGTTTTGTCTCTCACATTCATTTTTTCTTGTCCCCCCCCCCAAGAGATAGCTACTACTGGTAGAGTGTCAGATTTCATTATTTCTGATATGTATTTACTCATGCCTGAATGCAGTAATCAAGACCATTTCTGTATTTTTGCTGCATACATATTCAAGGAGATTGACACTACAATGTTATGGTAGGAATTAAATATCTGCATAATTTTCATATGTACCCTGCCAATGTAGACCAAGGTGATATCAAGAATTAGACTATCAACAAAGATCTGGTGCCCCACAATCCAAGAGTCCCATATATAAGACCATACATTTCCCTCTTCCAGAGGAAGTTAGGGGCACCACAGAGGAAATTGGTCTTCACTATTACTCCATGGAAATGTATGTCTTGCAAACAGAATGTTTTAATGTCTTCATTGTTTCCAAGAGAGGTAGAGAAAGCTTCTGTCTGAAATCCTGGAGAGCTATTCCTAATATAGATAACGCCAGGCTAGCTCTCTATGTTTGAGGAAGCTATGCTCAAGTACCAACTAGATCAAATGAAGAATCCACCTGGCTTAACATAAGCTCATCAGATAGTTCCAGGAAGGCAACATTCCAACAGCTAGTTTCTTGTCGTCACTAATACCCTCTGATAGAATCCTATATTTTGATATGGTCTCCATTGCCCATTGACACTTAAAATCACATTATGTCCTTTGCAAAACATAAAGTACAGTCATCATGGTTACATGTTGCATGTGTAGGCAACACAGGTTGGGGGTATATTGTGGAGATGAGTAAATGAGTCTATGCTAATTGTAAAACATTCAGTGCTTGGTGACTAACAAGGACATGATACATACATACATAATACATACCTAACATACTAATGTCATTATATAGTTAGTCTGGTTTGAGCTTAGCATAGTATTTTGACTTAGTATTTGAGTTCTATGATAGAAAAACTAGCCATATGCTCAAGCTGATGGTTGATCGCTCCTAAAATAGCATTTCATTATTTTATTATGGTTAGAGTGCAGCACTGCAGGCTACTTCAGCTGACTGCTAGCTGCAGTTCAGCCGTTCATATCTCACCGGCTCAAGGTTGACTCAGCCTTCCATCCTTCCAATGTGGTAAAATGAGGACTCAGATTGTTGGGGGCAATATGCTGACTCTGTAAATCGCTTAGAGAGGACTGTAAAAGCACTATGAAGCGGTATGTAAGTCTAAGTGCTATTGCTATTGCTATTATTAGCAGTTGAGAATACAATCTAGAAATGTGGTTGTTGCGGATTTCAAGAAGAAAGTTATGCTAAGTAGATGTATTTTAATTATTTTTCCCTGCAGATACCAATGTTGTACGGTACATCCAGCTGACAGAAATGAAGCTTAGCAGATGTTCCCAGAGGGAAAAAGAAACATTGTAAGAAGAAACCCAGTTCTGTGGGCCTGAATGGACATGTCCTCCCCTAAATGATCACCGGGTGAATTGTCCTTCCCATTGGCTTCACATTAGATTGACAAGTTTTCTCTCTCTCCTGATGTTACTTTTGATCTAAGAAGAGATCCTGGATCTAGCTTTGGCTATTTGCTGGTTTAGTGATAACATTCTATCCTCCTAGCACAATTGCTCTGGGAATTTGGATGAAGAAGAGCAATAGAAAAGGATTCACTTTGGCTTGTGCTTATATTCTGCTACTTTTGTCACAGCAGCCTTCCAGAGATCCTCCTTTTCTCTTCAAATACAAAGACAATAGCTAATGAAGAAAAAAATATATAATGAAACTCCCTTGTAGTACATTTTACGTAGTACAGAATGTTCAACAAAGTTGAGAGAGTTTGGGCATGGGATAGTATCTAAATGAGAATGTGAAAGATGCTGTTCTATATGGGGATGAAAACTGGAGCAATTACTTAATATCAAATATATGTTGTTAACAGGCAACAACCCCACATATTATTTCTTAGAAGGCATGGCTGGGCTCTAATACATAAAGGGGAAGCATGATTTTATAATTAGTTTTCAGATTATAGAAATTGAAGCACTGAATTATGGGCTTGCCACCATCTTAATATACACCTTAACTTTTCTGTGCCTCAGTTTTTCCATCTGTATAGAGGGAACAAAAATGTCTCCCTACCTCACAGGGGGTGTTGTGAGAATTTGTTAACTAATATTTGTACAGTGCTAAATTATATTACTGGTTCACTGGACTAAGCTTGCAATTCTTATACACTGTCTTAATACTTTACTGCTTGTTTTCATTCATTATTTTTAACTCAAGGTTACACAGAGATCAGGCTATATAATCCTCCATATCAAGACATTCATCGGTTTATCCACTAAAGGCAAAATAGGCAGCAATGTCCAAACATCCTTCCAATGCTAGTGAGTATTTAGGGCATGATTTGTTCAAATGCCAGAAACTCAATTTTAGCTTCTAAATTGCCTCTTAAACCCAGAATATCTGACTTCACAAATGTGTTACTGAATTACAGGTTCTTTTAATCCCACACAATAAAATTAAGAGGGAGGGTGAGGAGTGTAGTGTTATTCCCCAGAGATTATACTTCAATTGTAATGCAATTGCATGATTTAGATATTCAAATCACATTAAGAAAGTTTCCCAATGAGTCAATGGATGAATACAACTGAAAAAAAAAAATCCGAAATAATTTTCTTCCAATGGTCATAGGAGAAAATCCAAATGTTTCGTTTTGTAGGTCATGCTTTTCTAATCTCCTCTTTGAGTGACTTCTTTTTGTGAGGCTGATCAGATGCCTCTTCTTCCATATTAGTTATGTCAGGCAGGTTCTTGATCATCCTCTTGCTTTAGGAAATTCATTTGAGGTAAGT